TGGTGCTCGAAATTCTGTCTGGCGGTCAAGGCTGAAGCAGGTTGGAACATCATAGCCCTAGAAGTCTTCTGGCGGCGGGATCCTCCACGGGGGGCTCTGCCACGGACTCCGCCGAGGCCGCCTTCGCGCGCGCTCGCTCGGCCGCCGCGCGCCCGCGGAGCGCGCGGAGCGCGCGGAGGCAGCGCGGAGGCAGCGCGGAGGCAGCGCGGAGGCAGCGCGGAGGCAGCGGAGGCGACGTGCCTCCCGCGGCCCGGCGAACTCCCTACGCCGCGCGGGGGCGGGGGGGAGTGCGGGAACCGCGCGGCCGCAGGGGCGAGGCGCGAGGACGGAGGACGGAGGACGGAGGACCCGAGGGCCTTGGCCGCCCCGACGCGCAGGCGCGCCCCCTGGGGGTGGGGGGGGAGGGCGGGCGGGCACGGCGCGCTCGGCCGCCCCCGCGCGCGCGGGGGGCAGCGGCGGCATCGCCTGCAGACGACGGGCCAGCTCCCTGCGCCGCGGGGGCGGGCGGGCACGGCCGGCTCCTGTCGCGGACGGGACGAGGAGAGCATCGGGTGGGGATACATGTAGGTCGGGCATGTCCTCCTACGGGCGAATGTTGGACGAAAACTTGAAAAACAAAATAAAATAAAAAAACTAAAAAAAAATGCTCGATGCTTATTTCTTAAATAAAACAAAAAACGACTATGTTTTGACTATTTTTGAATGATCCCCCTGTAGAGGAACAGGCCCGACTGTCAGGATAACATCGGGTGAAGGTACATCAAGAGTCTCTGAGCTCCCGCGGCTCTGCAGCTTGTATGGGGCGCCGCGGCCTTCTCGGAGCGTTCCGGAACGCTTTGAGGACGTTCTGGGACGCTGTGGAACGCATTTCTCCTCGTCCTTGCCCCGTCCGATGTCATGGCGACGCGGACGTTGGTTTCTGGCGCGGGTAAGATCGTTCAATCCTGAGCGGTTGTCTCTCTCTGCGACAACGGAGATTCTTCAAGCTTGGCCTGGCTCAGGCCGCCAGTGGCGCTCAGCCTTTCGACGCCCGCGCATGGGTCGCCGCCGCGTCGACGTGGCGCAAAACTCGCGCCCTGCGGCGCGCGAGGCGCGATGACCTTCGCGCTCTCACGGAGCGGACGCCCTGGACAAGGGTTAGGTCGGGCATGCCCTCCTACAGGCGGCTTTTGGACGAAAAATAAAGAAAACGTGGAAAAAATGCTCGAAGGCAAACAGAAGTAGTAGGAAAACTGTCTCCAGACTAATTTTTCCCAATGTTTGAATCCTCATCCTGGAGAGGGACAGGCCCGACTTAATCGGGGATCTTCTGACCCGGGTCAATCCAGACCTGGGTCAGCAGGAAACCCAAAAACTGCAATGCAGGAAAAAAAGACTGCAACGCAGGTCCTCGCAAACCCGGGTCACTCAATATGCGCGGCCGCCTCGCGGCCACAAGCGGCTCGCTAACCCGGGTCAGCCAGAGGGGCTCTTCGCAGGATCCTGCAGGATCCGGTGCCGGCGGACCCTCCTTTGCACTGACCTCCGCCTCTTAGGCCCCGACTTACGACGAGGGTTAAGTCGAGCTGTCCCCCTACAGGGGGATTTTCGACGAAAAACAAATACCCCAAAAATAAGCAAAAAATAGTCTAAACATAATCTGGGGACTATTCTTTGAACAGTTGCGTTGCCTTGTTGGGGCATCTTTGGGGTACTTTTGCTTCCCCTCGTCGAAAGTCCCCCTGCATGTAGGGGGACGCGCGCCCGACACACGACGAGGGCAGCCTTCCGGGCCACGCCGCCTGGGCAGCGACGCGCTGTCGCGGCACCTGCTCGCGCGGGGCGTGCGCCGCCAGAGGGGCCCGCGCTGTACGCCACGACGCCCGACGCCTCGTCGGGCGCCACATGGGAGGTCTGCTCCCGCCCAGGGATAGGAAGGCACCAACTATACACCAACACCGATCCTGGCCAGGATCACCCTGGGCCCAGGATCGGTGTATACGCCCTCCTGCCTTGCGCAAGAAGGCATATGCACCGATCCTGGGCCAGGATCGGTGTTGGTGTATAGTTGGTGCCCTCCGAAGGGAGCGGCCCACAGACGTCGCCCCTCTCCGGCCGGGCCGAGGCGCGCGGCCGGGCCGAGGCGCGCGACCCTCTCCGCGCCCGCGGGCGGCACGAGGCCGGGCGCCAGGCCCCGCGCAGGCCCGCCGGCGCAGGCTCTGCTGCCGCCGCGGCTGCTGCTGCTGTGCCAGCAGCAGGAGGAGGAGGAGGAGGAGGGAGGAGGAGGGGGAGGAGGAGGGGGAGGAGGAGGAGGGGGAGGAGGGAGGAGGAGGAGGAGGGGGAGGAGCCCACGCCTCGTGACGAGGAGGAGGAGAAGGAGGAAGAAGAAGAAGAAGAGGAAAAAGAAAAATAGTGATAAGAAGAAGAATAAGAGGAGGAAGAATACTGATAAGAAGAAGAAGAAGAGGAAGAAGAAGAAGAAGAAGAAGAAGACAGAGAAGACGTGCTCGCTCGGCTGCGCCGTGGCAGGGGCGCACAGCTGTGCGCACCTGCACGGGGTGCCGCCGCCTCTGCGGCGGCAGCTCTCATCTGAAGCTGTACTCCCTCCTCCTCCTCTCCCCTCCTCCTCCCTCCCTCCTCCCCCTCCTCCTCCTCCTCCATCCTCCTCCTCCTCTGGGTCCTCCCTCCTCCTCCTCCTCTCCTCCTCCTCCTCCCTCCTCCTGCTCCTCCTCCGCCTCCCTCCTCCTCCTCCTCCTCCTCCTCCTCCTCCTCTGCCTCCTCCTCCTCCTCCTCCTCCTCTCTCCTCCTCCTCCTCCTCCTCCTCCTCCTCCTCCTCTGCGTCCTCCTTCTCCTCCTCCTCCTTATCATCCTCCTCATGTCTCTTCCTCTCCAAAGTGTTACCCCAAAGGGGTCCGCGACGGCGGTGGGAGCACATAGTCCAACAACTTGGCCAGACTTCGGCCCAACGTTTGGCCGCATGGGCGTTTCCGATAGGCAGGGGCCGGCGGTGATTCGCCGTAGGCGTCTTCGATCCGCCATCCCCGTTGCGTGAAGTGGTGTGCTTGGCGTGCTGGAATTGTGTGTACGTGCGTTCTGGTCCTTCTAAACTGTCCCTAGTGGGGTCTCGCCCGATGTCGCTGGTTGCGGATGCGGATGCGGATGCAGCGATGCGGGGTCACCCGCGCCCAGGCCCCTGGAGGGCGATCGGGCTCGCTGGGAAACACTTGTGAAACAGGCGCGAACCGAAGCGAGACGACGCGGCATGCTGACCGACCTCTCCAGGCCGGGCCCCTGACGAGAAATTGATGGAACGTGGACGCCTGGACTCATCAAAGGCACGTGCAATGTGAAACAGGTAGGGTGCAACCTCAACATAGAATGATCGTCTGTAGAGAAATATAATTTCTATGTTTGTTCGACAATGGCAGGGGCAAAGCAATGAGCTACCGTTCGAATCTTCAGAGGGGGAGGAGGAGGGAGGACGAGGAGGAGGAACAAGGAGGGGCGAGGAGGCAAAGTCCCACCCTGTGGGCGCTCAAGATGGCTTCAAGAGGGCTTCTACGTGAACCTAGATGGCCTCCACGAGAGCCAAGACGGCCGCATAAAGCCTCCAAGAAGGTCAACATGTCCTCCAAGCCGGCCAAGATGGTCCCAAGCTGGCCCTAAGAGGTTTCCAAGACTCCAAGACCCCCAAGAGGGCGCCAGGAGGTACAAGTCGTCGATGTACCAATGGCTGTTCAATGATTTCGGCGTTCTCGCCCTCGAGGGCGTCCGACAGCCTCACAACGATGCCTCCAAGATGGCCCCAAGAGGCTCCCAAGAGGGCACGGAGGCGGTACTGGATTTCCCCAAAGACGGCCAAGATGGCGCCCGAGTCGGCGACGATGGCCCTGTACGAACTCCAAGACGGTCCAAGATACCCTGAGAGGCGGCCACGGTGTTCCAATCTTAGCTGCTCGATCGAGCAGCGCCTGGTTGCAGCGACGAGACACCCCCTGGAGCGCCAAGAACAACCTCCGAGGCCAAGAACTCGACGTCGTCGGTCTTGGGAAGGCGAAAGCCCACCCCAACCCCAGTACTGACCCCATCCCCGAACCCGCGATTCACAAGGTCGGGACTGGGGGTGGGGGGGTAGTTTTTCGGGGTCCGAAAAAAAAAGAAAACGCCCCCACCCCCAGCCCCGACCCCTTGAATCGCCGGCTCGGCGATGGGAGTCAGGAATTGGGGTGGGGGTGGGTTTTCGCCTTCTGAAGTCTAGGCTTGTGGATGCCGTGACCATGGACACTCCACCATAACAGCTCCATCACTCAGTCAAAGATGCGCTCAAAATATTTACAGCACGTCCTGAAAAGGTGCTCAAGGCAGATGCCTTCACATGTCTGAGACTCGTCTGGAGATCCTATTTGGCGGCACGCCCCCTCTCCACACTGGCCGCCGTCCACGACCCAAGAGACCCGGCAGCCGGGGCCGCCTGGGGCAGCAGGGTGGCGTCCGCGGCGTCCGCGGCCACGAGCTGCCCGGGCGCGGCGCTGTCCTGCCCGGCGCACCGGCGCCGCCGAGCGGGCGCCGGCGCCGCCGAGCCGGCGGGCGGGCCTCCGACGCAGACGGTCGGCCACCGGGACCTTCGACGACTCGGAAAGAGAAGCAGAGCAAGACACGTCACTGCTGGGCCCGCTTTCCACCACCACCACCAGGAGTTGGAGGGGCAGGGGGTCCTCCTCCTCCTCCTCCTCGTCCTCCTCCTCCTCCACCTCCTCCTCCTCCTCCTCCTCCTCCTCCTCTTCGTCGTCCTCCTCCTCCTCCTCCCCCTCCAACTTATGGTGGTGGTGGTCGGAAACAGGCCCATCATTCACCACTTCTGGTCTGTGGCGCCACGTTTCGGCGGCGACGGCCAATTTTTTCGTCGCCAGCCGGTTTCGCCGCCGGCCCCAGTTTCGCCAGCGGCCGGCTTCGCCGACGGCCAGTTTCGCCGGCGCGGGTTTCGCCCAGCTGGCTTCACCGATCCGCCCGCTGGTTTCACCCGGCTGGTTTCGCCCGGGTTGTGGTGACGGCTGGATGGTTTCCCCATGCTGGTTTCGCCGACCCGCCCGCTGGTTTCGCCCAGCTGGTTTCGCCGGCCCTCCCGTTACGGTCGTCTCTGTCGTCGTTCGTCGTCGTCACCGTCGCGGTCGTGGTCGTGGTCGTATTCGTAGTCGTCGTCGTAGTCGTCGTCGTCGTCCTCCGTCGTCTGTCGGTCGGTCGGTCGGTCGGTCGGTCGGTCGGTCGTCGGTCGTCGGTCGTGCGTCGTCGGTCATCGGTCGTCCGTCGTCGGTCGTCGTCGTCGTCGCCGTCATCGCCGCCGCCGCCGTCGTCGTCGCCGTCATCGCCGCCACCGTCGTTGTTGTCGTCGTCGTCGTGTTCGGTCGGTCGGTCGGTCGGTCGTCGTCGGTCATCGTCGGTGGTCGGTTGTCGGTCGTCGATGTCGTCGATGTCGTCGTCGTCGTCGTCGTCGTCGTCGCCGTCGTCGTCGATGTCGTCGTCGTCGTCATTGTCAGCGTCGTCGTTGTGGGTTCCGTCCGTTCGCGCGCCGGCAAGCCCCCCCGCCCGCTTGAATGTCCCGCCCGCCCAGCCCGCCCATTAAGGTCCTGCCAGCCCGACCCGCCCGTTAAGGTCCCGCCCCTTCGCGTGCTGGCAGGCCCGCCGCCGGCTCGAATGTCCCGCCCGCCCGACCCGCCCGCGAGAGTCCCGCCGGCCCGATCTGGCCATCAGGGTCCCGCCCCTCCGACCGCCCGTCAATGCTCCGCCCGCCCGACCCGCCAGTTTGGGTCCAATACGCTCGCGTGCTAACGAGCCCCCCCGCCCGCTTGAACGTCCCGCCCGCCCGGCCCGCCCGTCAGGGTCCCGCCCGCCCGACCCGAGTGTTCGGGTCCCGCCCGCCCGACCGTCCCGTTAGATCCCGCCCGCTCGATCCGCCCGTCAGGGTCCCGTCCGCCCGACCGTCCCGTTGGGGTCCTGCCCGCCCGACCCGCACGTCAGGGTCCCGCCCGACAACGACGACGACGACGACGACGACGACGACGACGACGACGACGACGACGACAACGACGACGACGGCGGCGGCTGCGGCGGCGGCGGCGAGGACGACGACGACGACGACTCGACTACCACCACGCCGACCAGCGCCCCGGCGAAACCAGCCGTCGACAGGCGAAACCAGCCCTGGCGAAACCAGCCGTCGGCGAATTTAGCCCTGGCGAAACCAGCCCCCGCCGAAATCAGCCCACGGGCAAAACCAGCCGCTAGCGAAACCAGCCCCCTGCGAAACCAGCCGCCAGCGGGCGAGACCAGCCCTGGCAAAACCAGCCGCCGGCGAATCCAGCCAGGCGACACCAGCGCCAGCAAAACCAGCGTCGGCGCAACCAGCCCATGCCGTCTCGGCCACCCGAACCCGCACTGGGGTGATGGGTCGAACTCCTCTGGGGCTCACGTCGACAAAAAACTGCGACGTCAGGGCCGAAACCACAGCAGAATTGTGTTTTCGCAATCCCGCTGGTTTCTCCATTGCCTCTGCCTCTGAGGCCGTTTTTGGGCCCTGGGACCATCAAGAATGGGTCTGGAACGAAGATCTGCCTCGTGGCAGGGGGTCGAGATCTCTAGGACCGCGGATTCAACAACTAGGCCGCTAGGCAACCACATGTAAACGCTGCCCCTGTCTGACCCAGATCCTCGGGCAGAGAAAGTCAAACTATGCACCCTACGCCGATCCTGGCCAGGCCGAAGCTGGGCCCAGGGTCGGTATGATTATCATACGCCTTCCCTGCAAAGGCAGGAAGGCGCGCAGAAGTACGCCGATCCCAGGACAAGGCCGGATCCGCCCAGCCAACGAGCGAGGCGAGCACATGCACGCTGGCAAGCCCTTGCTGACCCAGGTCGACTGGTCCCCCAAGGGGTAGGACTCGGATGTTGTCACCGCATCTGCGTCACCACAACAAAAAAAAACAAGACGGCCTGTTTATCGCCAGGTCGGGCCTCAGGGAGCTCGTGAACGGCCCAGGGCCAAGAAAGACCCTGGATGGAAAAAACTGCCACCAGAAAGGGGTGGAGCGCTGTGGAGCCCACGTCACCAACAACTCGTGACGTCAGGTGTTTTTTTGTGGCAAGGGTACCCGGAGGTGTCTCAAGCTTCTATGTGTATGCTTAATGGCACAAAGGCACGTCACTCTGGGACATGGCCCACTCGCTTGCCTTCGGCTGTAATGGCAGAGCCCGTCGCAATTATGTGCGTGGAGCCCTGCTGCCGGGCACGCCGCTTACGCTCGCAGTCCCGGTGTGGGTGACGTCAGCTGTCTCGGGATCCGCCGAGCGAAGCTCCATGCTCCGCACTCTGCTCGAGAAGGAGAAATGTACACACATGTACACAACCTTGGAAAACGGATATCCCAGGACCACAAGAGGCAGTGCATACGAATATGTGCATATATGTTTGGGGGGGGCACCAGGACTCCTTCTGACGATGTCCGAAGACTCCCACAGCAGTGGGCTCGCAATTATGTGATCCAGCCCGCAGTCCTTGCGCTGGAGACGATAGATCAGTTGGGCACTGGACGTGCCTTGGCGGCAAAACAATGTGCATGTAATGGAAGACAACTAATCTGGTGGAAGGGGGACTCCTCTCACACCAGGGTTCGTAAACTCGATCCGACCTTCAAACGTCTTGAACGTACAATCAAGAGCTCTGCATACGGTGAGGCTCATGGAACGTCTGCTAGCGCGAAGGTGGAGAGAGGCAGAAAAAGAGAGAGAGAGAGAGATAAGCTCCAAGCCACCTGGCCTCTCGCACAGGAGCTCAGAAGCTTGTCTCTCGCCATCTCGACTGCATGACGTCCCGGCTACAATCTGGGAGTCGCCCACTGGCAAAAAACAGAAAAGATCTCTGCACGTCGCGGGTAGGAGCGCACGACCACCCAGCCGTCCACTCACGGATTCGCTCCACCGCACCGTCCTCATAGGGGGGCCAAACGATGCCGGGCAGGCACGGCGGCACGCGTGAGGGGCGGAGGGCCGCGAAGCGCGAGGGGCGCGGTGCGCCGTCGAGGTCAGGCAGCGGGAGGCGGCGGGTACACCGGGAACGCCTTCATGGTGGACTCGTAGCACGCCCAGTAGGCCTCTGGCTTCATGAACGGGTGGTAAGTTGTGGTGGCGACGGTGTCGCAATCGGGCTTCCACTTCTTGTTCTTCTTTTCCGAAAGGGGCCGGTCCGCCTCGCACGTCCCGTCCAGCTTGGAGCCGTATCCGATCCCGCGCTTTACGCCGTTCGCGTCCAGGCAGGCCTGCGCAAACAGATCCTCGCCCATTGGCCCGTACTTGCCGCCATCGATGCCCACCTTCCAGTCGATCCCACCGTTCTTGCACGAGGCCATCGACCCCAGGAGCGTCTCGAACGCAGCCTTCGAAAAGATCTCCAGGCTGCCAAACCAACCGTACTTGACGTACTGGCAATTCTCGAGGTAGGTGCCCGCGGGCGGGACGTACTTGTCTGACAGCCAGTACTTCAAGCGGCTGGGGATCATCACCGCGTCCGCGTCGAGTTTCACGACCCAATTGGCGGTGGCGTACTTGCCCTCCGCCTGAATGGCCTTCCAGGCCTGGTAGTGCAAGCCTGTGTTCAGCCAGGTTCCGGTCTCCTCCCGCTTCGCGAAATGGAAGTCCCCATCGACGTCATCCACCTTCGTGACAGGAGCGCCAGGCGCAATATCGGCCTCTGCGTCGCTGAACACCCCCCAAGAATCACAACCAAAGATACTGATCCTCTTCTCATATGCTCCCTGGAGCAGCTCCAGATCGTAATATTTTTTCGTGCTGCCGATGTCCTGCATAACTATCGCGAAGCAGTACAGCGTCGGGTCGTACAGCACAGCATCCGCCAAGACTGGCTCCATGATCGCTTGCGGCTGCCTGCAGAGCTTGGCCTCGCTGGGCGTGCAGTTCTTCAAGCACTCGCCCTTCCCTGCCTTGGTCTCGAAGCACGTCAGGCCCGCCACGTTGCAGCACCCCGTGCCGAAGCAGTCCTCGTCCCAGTTAGAGCACTGGTCCCGCGGGGGAATGGCGATCGTCTGCTCCCTGCTCTCGCGGGGGGCCACGCCCGGGGCCGCACCGCGCAGCGCCAGGCGCGCCGCGCCCCCGCCTGCGCCGGCCAGGAGGAGGAGCCCCGCGGCTGCGCCGCCCGCCGCCCGCCAGGGCGAGCGCTGGGCGCGAGCGTCCTGGACCAGGCACTGCTCCGACCCGCTGGCCTCGCCGCCGACCTCCGCCAGCTCCATGGCCGAGTTCAGTGTTGGAAGGGATGGCTGAACTTGCAAGTAAAACTGGCTGCAGGAAGATACGATTCTGTCTATACATATATATATATATATATATATATATATATTCCCTTTTTTATATCTTTGTGTAGCGGCGATGCCGGAAAAAAGGCAACAAGGAGTGATCGCTAAATTGTCGGTTTGACCTTCCTGCTATTCCGCCTGCACGCCAAACTTCAAGGACCAAGGCGCGTGGCGCGAAGCGCCAATGCAGTCTTGTATCTATATATATATATATATATGTGCAAATACGAGCACGCATAGCGTTTCCCGATGGGGTGCATCCGGGCAGGCCCGAGCCCGGCCGTCGGGCTCGACGCGTACTGCCCTGGGGCCCTGCAGATGGCACCGAGCTCGCCACGGTGGCACGGGGCCCTGCGCGGAGCGCCCTCGTGCCCTCTGGAAGCCCCACTGAGGCCCAGTAAAACGACCGGCGTGCTGACCCCCCCCCTCTTCGCGACATGGGGTGCGTCGCGCGTTCGTCGCCCGTGCGCCGCCCGTGCGTCGGCCGCCGAAAAGGCCGGCCGGCCGCCCTCGCGAACGTGCGCGTACGACCCGATCAAGAGCGGGGCCGCCCCACTCGTGATCGGGTCTGACAGCAGCGCTTCGGGGGCCCCCGGCCACAACTCGGGGCGTGCCCTTGGCGCCCTCGGGCCGGTCCCTCCGAGGGGCCCCTGGGGCCGCGAACGCGGGCCCGCGCTCCCAGCACGCAGCATGCCCCCGCGACCTTCTCGGGGGGCCTCTTGGGCCGTCGCAGGGGCCGCGTGGGTCGGCCAACGAGGCGACTTGAAACCGTCCACAAGCACACACGCACACACATACGCGCACAACTCGAGGTACCAACTTCGCTGATTCTCGCACCTGCAGCCTTTAAGAGCGACCTAGGCGGTCTAACAAGCTCAGGACGGAGCCCCAAGTCGGCCCCCAAGACGGGCCCCCGAGCCCCCAAGACGGGCCCCGGCACACCCCAAGGCAAGGGGCACGAACGAGGGGAAACTTGAAGGGGCCCCACCCAAAAGGCCGCCGAGAGGGCCAAGAGGCCCCGAGGAGGCCCACAGGTCCCCCAGAAGACTCCACCAGAGGCCTCCAAGAGGCGCCTCTGGAGTCCACGACCCAAACATGTTGGCGGGTTGGACCGCAGGCCACCAGAGTGCTCTCGCGTTCTACTCACGTCTGCATCGAGTTACTGCTTGACTGAAGCCACACCCGCTTACTCTTGGCGGCGTGCACAAGGGGGTATGGGGGAGGGGCGAAGGCTTCTTAGAAAGAGGCTACTTCTTAGAAGGCGGCAACCCTACGTCTAAAGACAAGGACCGCGCCTTCTAAGAAGAAAGGGTGCTTCTGAGTAGCCTTCCGCGAGGCCGCCGCTCGGCATCAAGTTACGCTCGGGCATCCAGGTCGCATCACTTGGCCAGCGGAATCAGCTGGCTGAGGCCGACGCAAGGCTAAGGATGCAAGGCATCCTCGGCCAGCCACCACACACACACACACACACCGAACGACAGCGCGTCACGCTGGGCCGCAGCATGCGGCATTGGGCCACGTTGCACCGCGCGGCATCACACCGCCCTTGCGGCCGCGCTTGCGCCTGCGCCCACGCTCGCGGCTGGCGTAGAAAGGCGGCCGCCGCCAAGGACGCGGACGGCTGCAGCCGCGGCGAACGCAGGATATCACAAGTCCGCTTCGCGAACGATCCTTCCGAATCGTACCTGAAGCACACCACCCGCGCTCGCACGCACGTCAGAACGAGCGCCTTCCGCACACAGCGGGGGCGCGCGACGCGCGCTCACGCGTCCGGCGCTGCCCCGGCCGAACCCACTGAGCCGCCCAGAGCGTCCTGAATGGCCGTCGTCGCGCCGAGCCCACCGGGCGCGGAGGCCTCCAGGTCCAGCAGCTGCCGCGTGAGCTCCTGGGGAGGAGGGGAGCAGGACGGAGAAAGATGCCCTCCCCCTGCTCCTGCTGCTCCTCCTGCTCCTGCCCCTCCTCGTCCTCCTCCTTCTCGTCCTCCTCCTCGTCCTCCCTCGTCTCCTCCTCCTCCTCCTCCCTCCTCCTCCTCCTCCCTCCTCCCTCCTCCTCCTCCTCCTCCTCCTCCTCCTGCGTCTCCTCCTCCTCCTCCTCCTCCTCCTCCTCCTCCTCCTCCTCCTCCTCCTCCTCCTCCTCGTCCTTCGTCCCTTTCTCTGTTCAGTTCGCCGGCCCAACGGGCCAGAGGCGTGCTGGAATGCTCGGTCAGACTTTAATAGTGTGTCTAGATCGCGCGCGCGTGGCGGCCCCTGGGGGTTCCCAGACGCAAAGTACCCCGGCAAGGTCCCAGCAGACTCCCAGCAGACTCTAGGCCAGGTCGGGTCAGAGATGCCTGAACTCCTAGGCGCGGCCCTGGGGGGCCTCCAGCGCGCCCCAGAGCGCCCCGAGGAGGCGCCACATGGGTGGCAGGCCCCAGAGCCTCAGACAAAGAGCGTTCCAAGATGGCCCAAGTTGGTCTGAAGACGGCCCCAGAGGCGCCCAAGACGTTCCAGGGGGGCTCCAAGAGGAGCCCAAGGGGGCCCGAAGAGGCACAATTTATTGATTTGCCTTGGTGTTTGAAGGATCTTGACCACACCGACTTTTCAAGCTCCCGACCGCCCAGGACGGGTCGCCCCAAGTCAGCCCAAAAAGGATCCCGGGGCGGCCCCAAGAGGGCCCAAGAGGCCCCCAAGACCCCCAAGCGGCCTCCCTAGAGAACTCAAGATGGGGAGGAGGAGGAGGAGGAGGAGGAGGAGGCGAAAGTAGAGGCGGAGGAGGCGAAAGGGGAGGAGGAGGCGAAAGAGGGAGGAGGAGGCGAAGGGGGAGGGGAGAGAGGGAGGAGGAGGCGAAAGGGGAGAGCGCGATGATTACCGGCCGATCCACTCGTCAGTCAGTCAGTGGCTCCAGAGGCATCCCCTGAGGGCTCCAACAGGGCCAACCCGAACAGACAGATCGAGCCCTCCCCGAGAAATGGCCCCCGAGACAGCCAGCAAGCCACAAAGAAGCCCTCAAGAGGCCGCCAGAAGCTCAAAAGGATGCCTCCCAGAGGCCCTAGGAGGTCTCAACAATGCCGCCAAGAGGCACCCGAGAGGCCTCCCAAGGCACCCCACGAAGCCTTCCAAAGAGGCGTCTTGTCCGCGACCCAATGTGGGTCCATAATTCCCCAAGAAGCCGTCAGAAAGCCTC